TCAGAGCTTCGAGATTTTCGATGGTGGTCTAACACTGGTCAATTCATGTTCTTAACCAAAAACTCAACAATCTTCCCAACTCCATACCGATATTATTATAAGAATAAAACTGACTGAAGATTGAATAATCCGATTTCTCATTTATCTTCAAATTGGATAATTTTATAACTACAACATTATCTATAGAATCCAATGAATACTCAGAAAAAACTAGACAAACATTTCATTGATCAATTCTATATTATAAGCAATCAGTATCTCCTAGTTACAATGCATTATCCAATTTGAATGTGTTCTGAATACTTATACAAAATAAAATCACAGTCAATAAAATACTGCCTGACCTATACAAGTCTAAGCTAAACAAATGAATTAGGCAATGAGTATCACATGATTGATTTTGATTTCAGTTCCTATGGAAACTTAAAATGCATTAATTATTTAACTTTTAAACAATTAGAAGCAAGCTGTTGTTTACTTTTATCTTCCCATTGTTATTTAGGACTGCAATTGATCAGTCACTTGTTGGCATATGTGCATTCTGTGCGGACTGCCTCGATATCGCCTGAAGTTGCAAGCATTGTAAGCAAAGATGGATGATGGCTATCAGTAAAATCCAGTTTGACGCACGTTTCGTCTTAATTGGGACACGTCAGCTGGATGTACCTGCATCTCAGAGTTGTTGGTGTTCACTCTGGGACTCGAACCCAGTATCTTCCGCTTCAAACGCCACGCGTTATCCACTTACCTACTGAGTCCTGATGGCCACCTGCTTGTTCAAACTTCATTAGAAAACGGCTATCTAATTTAATCTATTACAGAATCAATAATGTATGTATTAGATTAGTCTATTGGAAATCAAACAAGAGAAAATCAGGCTGGCTTCAGACCTGATCGTGGCTGTATCGACCATATATTCACCATTCGTCAAGTTTTAGAGCACAGACATGCTTATCGGCGTCAGACAATGATAGTTTTTCTTGACTTAAAAGCAGCATTTGACTCTGTAGGCCGAGAGGTTCTGTGGCAGTGGCTGTCATTAAAAGGTGTACCCGAGAAGTACATAAACCTTGTGAAGACTCTTTACTCGAACACTACCAGTCGAGTGAGAGCTTATGGCGAACTGTCATATGATTTTAATATCTCAAGTGGTATCCGTCAAGGCTGTCCACTATCCCCATTTTTGTTTAACTTCATTATAGACCTGTTGCTGGAAATAACACTCTCTTCAACTGAATCTACAGGAATTGATCTCCTACCAGGAGGTTCACTTATCGACTTAGAATACGCAGATGACATACTCCTGTTTGGTGAAGACACAGACAAAATGCAGAGTCTTCTATTTGAACTGAGTAATAATGCCAGGATGTTTGGGATGCATTTCTCTCCATCCAAATGTAAATTGTTACTCCAGGACTGGCCTGCGTCAACACTCGAACTAAGGATAGGAAGTGAAGTAGTCGAACGCGTCGACAACTTCACTTATCTTGGAAGTCTGATCAGCCCTAATGGGTTGGTGTCAGACGAAATCTCAGCACGGATTCAAAAAGCTCGTTTGGCTTTTGCCAACTTACGTCACCTATGGCGAAGACGAGATATCCGTCTATCAATTAAGGGACGAGCATACTGCGCAGCAGTTCGCTCTGTCCTACTTTACGGCTGTGAAACATGGCCATTAAGAGTAGAAGATACTCGTAGGTTACTAGTATTTGACCACAGATGCCTTAGAAATATTGCTCGCATCTGCTGGGATAACCGGGTAAGTAATAGTGAGGTTAGACGCAAAGTATTAGGGAACGATGGTAAATCAGTTGATGAGGTGATGAATCTTCATCGACTGAGATGGTTGGGTCACGTGTTTTTTTTTGCCTGAACACCGATTACCACGACGCGAAATGTTGACTAGTATTGGAGATGGTTTGAAGAAAGTTAGGGGCGGACAAACCAAAACATGGCATCAGTGCTTGAAGTCACTAACTTCTAGTCTAAACCATGTTGGTAGATGCAGACTACCTGGTTGGGGTCCGCGTGACTATCGTAACCAATGTTTGGAGACTCTGTGTGACATGGCTCAGAATCGATCACAATGGCTTGGGTGTATGCACTATTTATCTTCCCTTAAACCTTAAGATTAAAATTGTTCCATAACTTTTTTCCTTCCTATATCCTTATATACAACCTTTTTTTAAATATTACCACCACTAAATTAACTACTTCTATTAATCCGGTGTTGATCTTGTTGTGCTAACGAGGTATGGCAACTTGGATCGATGCATATATGTTCCTGGTCCTACGTTGTCGCTGACTAACTGACTGATTGGAAATCAATCATAAAATTATTGATTAATTCAGTATTATAATTGAATATCTTTATTGATTACTTATTTCGATCGATTTAATATTGTTGTTACAAAAACTTGATCATTTAAATTTATTATTATTGATTAGGAATAGGTATGTACTAGATAGTAAGTAATTATGTAATTATTTCTATTCTATATTAACCTCTATGTTTAAACATTCAATCTGTTATGTAACAATGACAGATTGTAATCTTCATATATGTATCAGTGTGTTTATCCATTATTAAAATGAATAGTGATACTATAAATGATTAACGTGATCAATTAATGAATATATATTTTATTCAAATGTAAATGTGTATCAATAGGCCTTAACATATACAAAAGAAAAAGCAACATCCTTGATTACAACACACACAGAATACTAACACAATCACACTTGATGGAGAAGCTCTGGACGATGCGTAGCATCATTGATGAATAAAAAGGATTTGATACAGGTGTAAAGGTAAAGATTGGCAAATCAAGGACAGCATTCCTACAATTGAACATCATATAAAACTCAAAACAACTCTCAACCAATATCAAAGTCAGAATCATCAATATGAACGTGAGGACAGTTCTATAGTTTGGAGATGAAACGTGGAGACCTACTACAACCATCGTCGAAAATGTACAAGTATTTACAAGCAATTTTCTACATAATATACTCAATGTCTGTTGACAAGATACAATCAGTAACAATCTATTATGGGAGAAAACAAGCCAGTTTCCATCTGATGAGGAAATTAGGAAAAGATGGGTGGAGTTGAACAGGACACATATTGAGGAAATCATCAAACTACATCACGAGGCAAGTTCTAACTTGGAATCTTGAATGGAAACAGAGAGCTGGAAGACCAAATAACACACTGCATCAAGAATAGGAAGTGGACATGAAAAGGATAAATAGTAAAAATGGAAACAACTGGATAGGATTGCTCCAATAGCGTAAGAAAAATTATAGTGATGCATTTTAATCAATAGATTAAAAGTGTATCTAAAACAAGTAAATACAAAATAGAGGATCATGGATGCACACTGTTAGGGAGTCCCATACTATGACAAGAACAGTTGATCATTGCTTCCAGGTTTTTAATGATGGTTAAACTAAGATCAAATCATCATTTAAATTGTAAAACTAGAAATTATGGTATCGCAGTTATTGTGATAATAACGATGACATAGAAAGTAATTATTAATCAATAATAATATGTACAATAAGGAATAAAAATAGGTGACAAATCTTCTGATTGAACATTAGATTCGGTCAACTAAGCTCTTCGAGTAAACTCCAAACTAAAACTACACAGCAACTTCAACACGAGAGAAAAGGTATGGAATATGGAAAAAAAAATTTAATCCAAGTTTAGTTGATATACAATAAAATCTATGGTATTTATAGTATTTCAGATGATCTTAGGCATCTTGAAAGTTCAGGAATACTACTCAACATAATTGCAGGATGGATAATCATTCAATCAGAAATGAGACATGTGATTTTTTTACTTTTTGGATGTCTGTGAGAAACGTCTATTGAATGTTGAATGGATAAGATATTTCTCATTGTTTTGAGGTCTCCATTTGATTTTTTGAAGAGTCTTCTAAGTCTCCCCGACAATGACCTTGGACTGAATAACTTGATAATGATGTCTCTAACTGTGATATTGAGTGGCAGTGATAAGAATGGATAAGATGTTTCTCATCGTTTTGAGGTCTCCTTTTTGTTTGTTTTTTAAAGGAATTTTCTGGGTCTCCCCAACAATAGGTAAGTAAATTTTTTTTAATATCACGGTAAAGAGTGTAGGTCATAATGAAGTGTTAAAATTGGAACTAAGAATGAAACGACCCTAAGGTGGATCAAAATACCGATCCTTTTCATTACATATATTAAGCCTCTTTGAAATTGATATCAATTACTTCAGCTACATAGTTTAAATAATTCTGTACATTTCAGTAGATTACTAGTAAGGGGCTTTTTTGGAGATTTCAGTAATTTTAATAGTTGATATCATGAGTTAATTGAAGTTAGACCTTCTATGGAAAACTTGGAAACTTGATATATAACTAAAAAGGTATCTTTAAGTTGAATATTATGTCATTAGTCAATGAATTGAGAAAGAATCCCATTGCTGTTCTTCTGTATCTTCATTAGGAAAAAGAGTTGTTATATCTAAAGCTTGATTCTTACTATGTCGCGTACTACTAGGCTACTTGAACGATAGAACCCGCAACGTCGCAAGATAGAAGACAGAAGAACTAGTAAGTAGGAACTTTATTCGCCAAAACAGTGTCAAAATATAGTACAGAAATCTCATGTATTTATAGTTTTTGACTGAGATTAAATCATCATTTCGGATAACCAATAGGCACATAGGGGGTCATTCTTATCCATCCAATAGGGAAGCCACACATCGACGTCCTAAAATATTCTCCTAGCAGTGATTGGATTGAATGTCTTCGGCTCTTTCTGGGCTTCTTGAAGCTTCCTAGAGTTTACCTATGAGCCGTCCTTACAGGAGTCATAGATTTAGTATTCACAGAAAAATTTCCATTATCTTTTAGTCAATGTATATCTATTCAATAATCAAATGTTAAAATGATTCTTTATTCTTCTGTTCAATGAACTTCTAATACATTTAGGCAAATGTGAAGAATATGGATTATACTACTTCTACTACTACTATTACTACTACTACTACTATTCAAAACAATAATAGTAATGATTATTATTATTATTACTATTATCACCGACCAACTGCCATGTCGTCATTTGTTATGAACAACCAGTTAAAATCAGCTTATTGTCTATTCAATCAAGTAGCAACCAATGATGATAATGTTCCAATGGATTTAAGTAGAACCTCATTATTATCATCACCATCATTAAATCACTATGATGAATTGAATACAACAGAAAACATGTAAGTAAACAAAAATTCAATGTGCAAACTTAATTAAATAACACTATTGACAAGAGATAACTTCGCATGTAGCTTGTCTAGGGTTCCTACAGTTCCTAAGCCTGAGTAAAGAAAGAAGGTTGGTTATGGGATTGAAAACGTCATCCCATAGAACATAACCTTGCTTAAAAGGAAATGCTAACCAGAACAAACGATTTAGGTAATTCATAAAAGGTAACTTGTAAATGTAAATAGGACAAAACATGCGTTCTGGATTCCATTGCTTGCCATCATCCAATTCTGATATGTTGTAAAGCATTTCTCCTTGATTCTTTGCATATATTTTACATAGATGAATTTCAGTAAAATCATTGCAGAAATAAAAATAGGAAAACATCAATCTAACACTATGACATGTTGTCTGCTTGAAATTTTATCTTGATTAATCCTGAACACTGGTTACCACGACGCGCAATGCTGACTAATATTGGGGATGGTTGGAAGAGAGTTAGGGGCGGACAAACCAAAACGTGGCATCAGTGCTTGAAGTCACTAACTTCTAGTCTAAACCATGTTGGTAGATGCAGACTACCTGGTTGGGGTCCGCGTGACTATCGTAAACAATGGTTGGAGACTTTGTGTGGCATGGCTCAGTATCGATCACAATGGCTTGGGTGTATGCACTATTTATCTTCCCTTAAACCTTGAGATTAAAATTGCTTCATAACTTTCTTTGTTCCTATACTAGATCCTTATATATAACCTATCTTTTATATATTACCACCACTCAATTAACTACCTCTATGAATTCGGTGTTCATCTTGTTGTGCTAACAAGGTATGGCAACTTGGACCGATGTATATGTGTGCCTGGTTCTACGTTGTAGCTAACTGACTGACGGACTGACTGAGTACACTGAATAGTTAATATATAAAAATTAATGGATTGGGTAATAAATCTTTATTGATTAAAATGGCTAAGATATATATTGCATGTTCTCATTACTTTATATTTCACTATAGGTGAAAACATTAAAATAAATAAATAGTTTACTAAAATTCACTTAGCAACTGAATATAATTCAGTACAATATATTAATTTATCTAGTTTCATAGTTGAATAAGTCAGCAATCAAGTATTTAATACTCAATGATTAGGAAACTAGTGGTATTGTCGTGTGGTCTACTTATATCGATATAAGTAGTATATGGTGAAGGTCAAACATAGAATGTATTTTGGCAGAAGATTGATAAGGAAATAATAGGAATGAAACGCAATTGGTGCGAAAATGCATGAACAATGAAATCAGAAAAGACGGACTGATATGTGCAGAAGGAACAATTAAGATTGAGACAATAGATTGTTATTTTGGAAATTAACTATTGACTGTATGGTTATCAGAATTTAGTGAGATAGTCTGTAATTTGCGTGTCAAGTACATTGAATTGTTAGTAAGGGGTTTTCGTGGAGGAATTCCACAATAGGACGAATCGGTCGTCCAGTGATTCCAAGTTTTCACTAGTGTTCTAGCTTCAATTTACTCATGATTTCAACTATGAACATTCAATTGTCCTCATTCATGTTGCTGTTCACAATAATATATAGAACAGAATTATTTTCAAATGACTGAAGAATGCTTACTTACACAAAATACTATACATTGGAAAGTAGTTGGTTCCCATTTTATTAACAATCAGATTTTCTAGTATAGTTACCAAGATAAATGGGATAAAGTTCCCACAATAGTATATCATTTGATTGATCTATTAGGAGAAAATCCTTCATTTGAAATGATTTATCAATTATTTATATGACCTATTCTTCTAGTTCCATATAAGTAGTTATGACGTTTTATGTAATGCAATCTATTTTGGTTAGTTTAATAAATATGACCAGTTAATGATTTGAAGATAACTATTATCATTAGAAGTAGATAAGGTTTATACAATATTATGAATTGACTGAAGTTAGAAAACGTAAGTCATCAGATGTCAACACAGTGGTTTGAAGTGATATATCTTGCTGATTGAATGCTATATTCGGATCGCTGAGCTAGTTTTGTAACCCTCAAGCTAGAACTACACAGCGACTTGAACACGAGAGAAAAGCCGCACAATATGCGAGGAGCACTTTACTCCAAGTGTTCAGTTATGTACAGAAAATATAGGTTTTTTTTATAGTATTTTAGAAGTCCTTGAGTTTTCCAGAAAATTCTAGAATACTACTAAACATAGTAGATGTAGTGTAGTAATCAGCTAATCAAAACCTCTACATGTGACTTTTCATTTTCATGATATTTCTAGCAAAATTTCTAATCAAACGCTGATTGGATTAGATACTTCTTAATGATTCCTGAGCTTGTCATGTCTATTGAAAGAAATATTCAGGATCACCTCAACAGAAGATTAAGTGCACATTACAAGATCTGAAAGTCTAAACTTCAGCTCCAGATTTAGTTATAGAGAAAAATTGAATATTAGGGATAGTTAGTTGTTCAGTAATAAATGTATTTTTTTACATTACTATCATAACTGTTATTAATTCAACTACAAATCAAGTCAATCTACTTTGTTTATAAATTCAGTCAACCATTAATATACTACTGAATTACTATTTAATAGACAGTTACTGTTGTTTTTTTTGTTATTTTGACCATTATAGCTATTATGATAAATGTATTGATTCTCAGAAAAGTGATGAACATAAATGTATAGTGAATGAAAGCATTGTAAGTTATTTTCAAGTTAGTTATCTTAAGATACCTAACATTTGGGATTATTGAATTGACTTGAGAATAATAGAAGAGAAAAGAAGGAATTAGTTTACGATAAAGTTGACAATAATAAGTAAAGATGAATAGTGACTAACAGTGGAATCCAGTTTGACGTACGTTTCATCCTATTTGGAACTTGTCAATTGGATGTACCTGCATCTCAGACTCATTAATGTACACTCTGTGACTTGAACCTAGTACCTTTCACTTCAAACGCCATATATGATCATTGGTTAATAAATATCAAATGTAACCTGAATGAAGAAAATATACAAATGAAGTATATATAAAAGTTAAATCAGGATGGGGAATGTATGTTTGTATGAACAAAATTCAAATGAAATTTATATTAAGAATAAATATACTTAATTAATATCACACTGAAATAAAACGATCGTTACATAAAAATGAAGATAATGAAGATAAATCAACAGTGTAAGTCATCTGAACTCCAGTAAATTATGTCGGCCTGGTTGAACATCTCGACTACCTGTTCCTGTCATCTAGATATTTAAACAAGTTATCTAATTTTGTTTACTTTAATGCATCATTATGGCTATTAATCGCATAATCTATTCAGGTGAGTTTTTGAAAAGTGTACAACCTTTCATTGTAAAAGTTACAAAAGGCCCAACCAGAGATATTATGGTTGTTGGCAATATACAGGTGAAAGAATGTACATTATTTAGATGTCGATTTATTGAACTGTTAACTTCTAACTGGTGATCACTAAATATTTATCATCAGGATCTATCAAGAAGTAAGAAACGGAAGCCTTTTGAAATATTTTGTGATATGCTTGAACTAAGTCGATTTCACGGTAAAAAAAAAGACACGATAAGCAAATCTAATCTGTTGTCCCAGGCTCTGCTAACTAGATGAAGAATTCTAAGGCAAAGTAGGGGAATATATATATATATATATTCCGTTATCCGCCGATTACAAGCAAGTCATAAGGGGAAAAACTCAAACGTTAATATACAGCAACAAATTGTCCTTGGGCATCATTACAAAATAGCACACTCAAAGAAACAATGAACCAATAGCGTTTAAGATAGTTTACAAGTGGGTGAAGGTAAAAAAGAGCGCTTTTGGCGCGAAAACAGCTAAATTAAAATTTTCAAAATAAAATTACAAAATTATGCCATTTTATCAAGTAAGTTCTGGGGATTTGACATCCCCAGCACTTTTTGCCGAGAATTCTATATTGTACTAAAAATATAATGTTGAATAAAGCTAATAATAATAATAACCTTGCTCTCATCATATGAGGTAAATACACATTTACTAATGACCACAGTTATCCAACTTTCACAGTTCTCTAGTTTGTTTCACCTCCTTCTGGCAATTAATTTTTTTAAAAATTGATCATTCCTTTCACTTTTGTTTCCTTAAAAACACATTAGATTATGAATAAATATTTTGAAAATAACAAATCGAAGGAAAAACCTAATCGACTTATGGATACTACTCATAATCCCATTATAAGTAGCCAAAAACAATCATTATCATTTTGTCAAAATTCACAATTAATCAACAAAGAATTATGTCAAACTTATAAGAACTATCATGAGGAACATCGAAATACATTGCCACTCTCAAAAATATCTAATAATAATGGTGTTAATAGTAATAATGATCATAAATGTAGATTTATGATACAGGATATACTTAAATCTCGGGATCATCCATCATCTGCTATAAATGACGATGATAATATGAACAGTACATCAGCGATTCAGCTTGAAAAATCAGTACACGACTCAAAATCCTTTACTTCTCATTCTAATATAATATTTTTCAATAAAAATAACAATAAATCTGTTAAAAAGATAAGAAATAAACCAACCTCCTTTTGTTTAAAAACATCAACTACTGAAATATTTGAAAGTAGCATATCTTTAACATCTAAAAATATGAAATCCATTTCACATATAGCAAATAATGATAAAAATAATAACAATAGTACAGTCAATCAAATAGAAAGAATTCAATCGTATATGGGGGAAGAACAAGAAAATAAAAAAGAAGATTCTGAAAATGTGAATGTCAGTGCACAAAACACTTCAAAACGTTACTCTCGTCAATATCGTTATGATTATCAACGATTTGTAGAAGATGAGAAACAACAAAATTGTTCAACATGTAATTTGAGTTTTTATCAACCAGTAGATTTTATTATACATATTCAAAAAGTAAGTATAATTCTTTTTGAAAGCAACATATTCATTAATATTGATATTAATAGGTAGTTTACACATTATAACTGATTAGTTACTAAGGAGTAATTATCGTTTGGTTAGCCTTTCTATAATAACGAAACTAGACAAACCTGATATTAGTTATCTCACTGGCTAATCAATGTATATATCTCAATTCTATAGGAAGTTCAGTGGTAACGCTCTAAACTGTAAAGTTTGGCGATAAAATTTTGTAACCTATAGGAAGCGTCAATTTGCTTATGATTATAGATGTCTTGCTGACTAGTGTCAACTAACTCAAAACCTATGTTAAGGAAGGTTTCCTATTGACTATCTTTATTCATTGAACACACTTTACAGAACAGTTATATTGAATTTAAGTGCTTTGAAGAAAAAGGTATACGTTACAGTCAATTGCATCGTAAAACCTGGCACATGTGGATATCGGTTGTATTAACCCACTCGCACAGCGAGATGAAACTGTCAAGGTAAATTCCATTGTAGTAGAGGAGATATAGATATTGGTGGCAATAGAAAAGACCAGGGATTCAGTATAAATTTAAGAAAAATATAAATCAGTGAAATAAAAAAAATTATGAGGAATTAAGAAACTTAGGGTATAGAGCGGACAAAAAGTGTTCTGTTCTATCATGGAACTCCTCAGCAGTGCATATTCGCGATCCCAAATACAAGATTCAAACTCCGACCTTTCATTCTCGCGCGCGAACGCTTAACCTCTAGACCACCAAACCAACATCTAACCGTGTTAACGTCTAACTTCAACCAATTTACGATCTTGCGCGACTGTCCACTATTGTTTTCAGTGAGTAACAGACTCACAATAGACACGGCTGAACTCCACTGGTCACGGCTTCTCATTGGAACTCCAGGAAATCTATCTTGAAGCTAGTCATTAATGAGCACATGATGTCATTCTAAACTCAACAATCTCCACAACCTTATAATGATAAATATTAAGAATCTTAATATTTCAAAGTTCAATAAAATAACGACAAAGTTATGATCAGTATAATAGAAATCATTTTTCATTTGATTGTAGACAGTAAGCAGAAAATCCTATTTGATCTAGGTTTCATTCTACTAAACATTCATCAATAAGGAGTAACAGTAAACTCAAAGGAACTAATAACAACTACTACGTTCAACCACTCAATACCCCAAAAAAAACTTAGTTCATAAATTAATGATTCAATTAAGCTAGTGATTATATTTACAGCTTAATTGATAAAATTTGATCAACACTAATGAAATTAGAAAGAAAAGAAACATTAGTTACTACTTAATAATTAATTAATTATGTTATATAGTTGAAATTATAAGTCAATTGAAGCTAGACCACCATGGAAAACCTGAAAGCACTGGATGGCCATTTCGTCTTATTGTGGGACTCCTTAGCAGTGTGCATCCATGGTGGTCTAGCTTCAATTGACTCATGATTTCAACTATATAAAAAAATTATTAAAATCTCCACAAAACTTATTTTGATAATGATCATATGGTTACTAGTGACTGGCTCCAAGAGGTATTTCCTGGAGTTCTAGTGAGAAGTAGTAAACAGTGGAGTTCAACCAGGTCTGTTGTGAGATATCAACTCACTGAAGACATTGGTGAATGGTTGATAAAAAACATGGATTGGTTGAAGTTAGACATTAACACCGTTGGATGCCGGCCAGATCAATGGTCTAGTGGTTAAGCGCTCATGCGCGAGACTAATAGGTCCTGAGTTCAAATCTCAAGAGGCGGGATCGTGGATGAGCACAGGTGGACGAAACGTCCGTCTAATGCTTCCAGGTTTTCCATGGTGGTCCAGCTTCAATTGATTCATGATTTCAACTATATAAAAACAAATTAACTATGTATTAGAGTAGTTACAAACCAGTATTCTAAAGAATTTTCTTAAAGAAAAAAAGTAAAACAAAATAGTTGAGAAAAGAATTTACTACGTCGATAAAAAGAAGTAAACCAACCATTAACTTTATCTTACCTATAATGATAGATGGCCATATCTAGATACAGTAAATCTAGAGGATTATTTTGAAATATAACGATTTCTTGTACATATTGATCACTTTGTTATTTGAACCAATTTGATAGTCATATTATGTTTAGTGTTGGTTTCGATAATTCTCAATTATGAACAGTTAAGATGCTCTACAAGCAAAGATGGATAGTGGCTAGCAGTGGAATACAGTTTGATGCGCGTTTCGTCCTATTTGGGACTCGTCAGCTGGATGTATCTCAACTCACAGTTGATATTCACTCTGGGACTCGTATCCAGTACCTTTCGCTTCAAACGCCATCACGTTATCCATTCAGCTACTGACTCGTGATAGTCACTTGCTTGTGCAATGGGGTGAAGTTGAAATTCACTTAGTATTGTCTGTTTGAATCTTACCATTGATGTTTAGAACTGCAATTGATCAGTCTTTTATTATTGGCTTATATGCATACTGCGCGTATTGTCTCGATATAGCCTTAATTCACAAGCATTATAAGCAGAGATGTATAGTTTATTTTATTTATTTATTTAAACACATTAATATTGGTACAAGGAAGCACCAAATAAATATGCGCCTGACAAATCTTATTCGATTTGTGAGGGCTGTGATACTGTCCAGGTGCCCAAACTGAAGCAGGTGGTTTTCTTAGGGGGCCACATCCGGAGCCTTTGACCTGAAGGTCTAGTCCACAAGGCAGTGGAGCATTGTAAGAAGATGCATTCCCATGATAGCCGGTGACCATCAGTTGGTTCATACGCCATTCGTTCCTTCAGGATACTGGAGCCCATGTGCATCATTGCTTTGGAATCAGGGTTTTTCAACTCCCCTAGGTGGATCCTCCACATCCACCAACCCGGTTAAGGCACCGGACATTCACTTTTCGTCCTCTCACTTTTGTGAACAACATCCACGCCACGAGAAGGCAATGATTAGCATTTGTGTGGCAGTGGCTATATATTCGCGTGACCATATGAGAGCATTTGGAGAGGGAGAGCTGACTCTCCCCACTATCGGCCGTATCAAGACATTTGGGGACTCAGGGATAACTGAGGAGGTATCCAATGGTGTATATGTTTAGCTTCAAACAATCTACAAAATTTCACAGCTTTTATCCATTACCTATAGTAGACGAATGTTAGATATCCGGCCAAACATTATGAGTTCAATTCATGAATGCTGAGTTGTGAATTCACGCTACCGAGAAAACCGCATAAACAAATGAATCAGTTGTTCAGTTCTTTCATGATTTTAATAAAGTTCTAAGATTACTTCATGATTCAAATTATCTTATTCTAATAACCTATTTATACCTATTTGCCAGGTTCATCTTGGATTAAAAATGGCAAACAATGAAAATAATTTAATAAAACCTTTAAAAGAATCCGTACAATCAAATAAAAGTCGTATTCGTAAATCTAATAAAATCCATAGAAATATCAACGATACTGATGATATCAATAGAGTTACTAATTGTGATGATAATAACCATACAAAAGATTAAATAAGAAATAACGATGATGGTATTGATTATCCTTTATCATTGAAATCAACAAGAAAAAGATCTTACCAATCTGTAAAGACCGTGGGGTATGATTGATGCAAGTACGATATGTATACATAAAGTGTTCTTTGTTGTCATCAGAATAATATAAATATATATATGTTTTCCAGTAAATTTTCATAACATTATATGGAAGTTCACTTGGTATTGTTTGTTTGAATCTTGATGAAGTTTTGTTCTCTGAGCTGGATGATTTGGTCATGGAGTTTTCATCGCCTTTCTGAACGATATCTTCAGCACAAACTTCGGGTCCTGAATCTTCTCATTGATTTTTAATATTGCAATTGATCAATCTCTTATTGGCATATGTACTGAGTGGATAACACGATAAAGTTTAAAGCGAAACAGTACTGGGTTCGAGTCCCAGAGTGAACATCAACGAGTCTGAGATGCAGGTACATCCAGCTTGACGAGTCCTAAATAGGATGAAACGCGCGTCCTGGTTTTCACTGCTAGTCATTTTCCATCTCTGCTTATTATGTGGAAGTGTATGAGTTAATCAGTTGATGATATAATAGATTAGAATTTATTCAATTTTTGTTAAGATTATCTGAATATAACCAATTCGATACGCTATATGAAATAGAAAGTTTCAGATTAATAGTAGAATCCAAGATGAACGTTTTGTTGTTATCTGAATGTCTAAAATAGGACAGTCCATACAGGATGCATATATTTTAATACAGATCGGTCAAAGTTTTAGTACTGAATATCAACAATAGGATAATTGAAATCATTACTAACATTGACTTCAAAATCATACTGGTTTAACAAGTTGATAGATTTCTGGATTCAATAGCTCAATGAATAATGTAGTGAACATTTTAAGCAAAAGATACTAGGTTCGATTCCTAACGTAGATATAGACAATCGGATGTAGGTATATTCAGTGGATGAGTCCCAAATAGGATAAAATACGTGTCTTGATTACCACTCACTCTCACAATTATTCTGTTCTAGAAAATTCTTAATTTTCTTGTTTCCTATAGTAGTATGTAGATTTCTACAGACATGTTCATCAATTTTTTACATCTATATCACCTAACGATACTAATAAGATTGAATAAAATCGCGCGAGGCATCAGACCGTGATATGAAACTGATTCTAATTAGGACAATCTTACTTTTGATGCAATTTCGTTAGACTGTTACTGATAGTTAGTAAAAATATTGTTTTATCTAGGTTTCATGCTAACCAGTAATCATATACAAAGTATACACCTGTAATCTTGAAGTGACTGATGTATCTCATGGGATGTTAAACATACCTAATACATATTCACAGTCTTATATATTACTATTAATCTATTTTGGCGCCAACTAAGATACTTATATTGACAATGAATTGAGACCAATGTCATTTTTTCTCTAGTTCTTTGGTGGTGATTGAATTCTATCGATCAAAGTGTTGTTCGATTTAATAATTGAAGACAAGCATGATACTAAACATCTACTATTTAGTGATCAATCAATGTAACTTGTACAAAATATAACCCTTAATTTAAGCATATATCTATAAATATTCACGTAACAAACAGTTAATTAGAACATGTGGTTTATAGGCTAGAAGTGCAATCATTTCAATTATTGAATGGTTTTCTATAAGATAGCTAAATGACGAATCTAGACCTTTCAGTGATGCATTTGAAAAGGATAAAGGTAAACATCAGGACTTGACCATAGTTAATACTGGTTGAAAGGAAAGTAGTTGTCTTATTATAGTATCCTAGTATCTCAACAGAACTATTCGGATGTGAAGAATTAATCCATGATAAATACATTTGTTTAATAATTCCTTTAAAATCAGACTCCCACGTACATCGTCCATATTTTCCGCCACATAAGTAATTTTCGGTTTATTGGCGGTAAGAAATCATACGAAGGAAATAAGATCAATATACTTTAGATTTCGATTTAAGGTCTCAAGTACGTGTATTTATTAAATAGATTACGCAAATCACAACCTTGATAAATTGGTTTGGGACTAGTCCATTGGATATACCTATATCCGATTGTTGATTTTTCACATTGAGACTGGGACCCAGTACCTTTTGTTTTAATGTCCAAAGCATTTCCCACTAGGCTATTGAGTTCAGATAGCCACAGAGCATGATGTTTTTTCCTTATTAGTAAGAGCTTGAATTATTCCATGGTTGATAATACGATCTGAATTTCGATCAGTTTTTCTTCCCATCTATGCCAATTGTCTCGATCTGACTATTTTGTTATTAGTTCTATAGAATAGATGGATTAGTCATCTGAATAAAAACTGATTACTCAAGTCACATTGATTTAATACGGTAAGCGTTTAAGTACAATGAGAGTTACTAGTAACCCTAAGAATTCAGTTCAAATATATGAAAGAGACCATATATATTTGATGAAGACCCTGACAAAATGCAGTCTTCTGACTACTATAAGCAACAATGCAGGCATGTTCGGGATGCGATTTCCCCCTTCGAAGTGCAAAATGTTACTTCAGGATTGGGTTTCGTCGACACCTGAACTAATAATAGTGATATAAGAGTTGATCGTGTTTACCGCCTAATTTATCTTGGGAGTCTCATTAGCCCTTATGGTTTGATGTGTGACGAAACCACAACACGAACACAGGAAGCTAAACTAGCTTTCACCAACTTGCGTCATTTATGGAGTAGGCGAGATATCCGTCTAGCAACAAAAGGATGGCCAGCAAGAGTAGAGGACATTCATAGTCTAATAGTTTTCGATCATAGATGCCTTCGAAGCATTGCTCATATATCCTGGGACCACTGTGTAAGCAATGAAGTTGCGAGGAAATGGGTGTTAGGTAAGGAAGGCAAATCGATTGACGCAGTAGTGAAAATTCACCAGTTGAGATGGCTGGGACATGTGTTATATATGCCCAACCACCGACTGTCCCGACGTGCAATGTTTTATAGCGTAGGAGTAGATTGGAAGAAATCTAGGGGCGATCAAACCAAAATATGGCACAAATCCATGAAGTCACTGACAATTTGACTGAGCCATGTAGGTAGGTGTAGACTACCTGGTTGGGATTCCCGAGATGATAGCAATCGATGGTTAGAGACCTTGAATGATATGACTCAAAATCGTTTGCGTTGGCAAAGGTGCATCCACTCATTGTGTTCCCCCAAATTCTTATCTTCTGAATTCTTCACGTCCCTATCTTCTTCTCTTTTCAAATTCATTTCACTGGATTATACTCCTTGAATAACATCTTCAAACCCTAATCTCTCGGATTACTGCTTATACTTTTGCTACTTTTACCACTATGGGATTTGAATCGGCAACTGCATCTCTGTGCTAATGTGGTATGGTAACTCGAACTGATGTACGAAGTTCAACGTTGTGACTGACTAACTTCACAGTAAAATCATTATTCTGAGTTGGTCAGACCAAACAATAAATTGCCTGACTAAAATACGTTTACTCCAACCTTTTAATGCTTTACTCTAGTATAAATTTATTAACAACAATGTGCAACGCTTATTATTCAATGTATTAAAAACTAATACCAAGCTCCTCAGACGAAAACAAATGATGATGATGTCGGGTCCTTACTTATATAACTTAAAGATGATAAACAAAGTACATGTTGTAAAGTGCTGTGTCCGAAATCTGATACTGATACAAAGTGTGCTACGTGTTGACCCCCCCCCCCGACAACTGACTACTTGAGTGAGAATATGTATAAGACTCACTCCATATCAGTGTATTCTTTTCAAACTATTAAGAAACATCTCCAAGACAGATATATTTGTGTAGGAGTTCAGTAATGAATTCAGTACAAAATCAAGTACATTTATTCTTACTTAGAAGCTAAAAAAAGAAAAAAAAATCAATCTTTTTTTTTAAATCCAAAGAAAAATAATATTTTTTTTTAATTTGTACAATATTAAGATGGATACAAAATGTGAAATTAAACATAAGAATAGTATAACTCTTAATGATATTCCTTGTTGGTTCTCTTCTTTTTTTCTTTGTTGTTGTTTCCTATAGGGTTACCATTTAACGAACAGTTGAACCTGGTGGAACATCATCTGATACAATAATCCATTTATTACCACATATAGAACCTAATCTTAAATGACGCCATTCAATATAATGATCAATAGATGTTAATAAATCCGGACATAATTGTTCCCATAATTTTGTTTTAGATGATAATAATTGATCTGGTTCTCTAAACCATAATGATGATGTTGATGATGAATTGGATGTTTCAATGATTGAATGAAAGATAAAACGTTCACCTAATATAGGATTTTGTTGATTTGTTAAATGAATTGGTTGTACTTTTAAAAGGGATGTACTTTTCTCAGTATATGAAGCACAAAGTAACATAGCCTAGAGAATAACAAGTTAAAAGAAAAAAAAACAATGATGATGTTAGAAACAGTAGAAATGATAATGATTGACATATAGTAGAATGATGAGTAATGTGAAAGGATAACTTTGAGGCTATCATAAGTCACAACGTAGAACTTCGTACGTACGTACGTACATCAGTTCGAGTTGCCATAACACATTAGTACAGAGATGAAGTTGTCGATTCAAATCCCATAGTGGTAAAGGTAGTAAGAGTATAAGCAGTATTCCGAGAGATTAGGGTTTGAAGATGTTATTCAAGGAGTATAATCCAGTGAAATGAATTTGAAAAGAGAAGAAGATAGGGACATGAAGAAGTCAGAAGATTAGAATTTGGGGGAACACAATGAGTGGATGCACCTTCGCCATTGCAAACGATTTTGAGTCATATCATTCAAGGTCTCTAACCATCGATTGTTATCATCTCGCGAATCCCAACCAGGTAGTCTACACCTACCAACATGGCTCAGTCAAATCGTCAGTGACTTCATGGATTTGTGCCATATTTTGGTTTGATCGCCCCTAGATTTCTTTCAACCTACTCTTACGCTATAAAACATTGCACGTCGGGACAGTCGGTGGTTGGGCATATACTGTTATAATTTTCTATATTTTTACATTTCAAAGCTTTCGCTTGATTCATTAATTATCGTCATATGTCTTAGTATTCTTGAATTATTGTTAAATAACTATTGCTTGAATTACTCTGGTATGTACACACTTTAATTCAT